AAATAACAACAACAACATAAAAATGTGGATCGCATAACAGCGACACAAAGCAAGACGACAACCGAACGTAAATGAAACAAAGTGTTCAATCGTTTCATAAGTGCCTGAATCACACCACGCTATAATGTCGTTCTGATGAATAACAAGTTGAAATTTTCGACATTAGTTTGATTGCACACGAAGTTGTGACACAGCCTGCATGAACAATATCTGAAGATGACCGCAGAAATTTCGAATACGTCAAAATACAATTTTAGCACTCTAAAGATTTTGTCACATGAATTAATGCAATTTTAACTGAAACTTGAATAGAGAACTGCAAAGTTATGCGATGGAGTGGCATAGATATTCGACATAGATTTATCGTTCATTCATACAAACTATGCATCAGCCTTTTGCTCGAACTTCGGGAACTTTGCTTGTGCTTCCTCCCACGTCATCCGACCGGTACATAATGCGTGTACGGCAGCACCTAACTCCGTCACCTGCATTTGCACACAGTGATTAGGAAAAATATTGAGAGCAATCAATCTCACTTCAAATTCAATTGTCAAATCAAAGTGAATGATTCAATTCGCTAAGCAAACTAATGACAAATAATAATGCAACTCTATTCAGTTATCCAGAGAACTGCAATCAGATAAACACTAATCGCATAAAAATATTAGCAATCGCATGACAAACATTTCAGATTTGAAGTAATCGAACTGCCCCACAAAAATTTCGAAGACTGTGACGGTACTTGACAAAATGACAATAAGAGATGGACATTCAACCCACAATGACAGTATGAAATCGCTAAATAAACAACCACTTCGAAAAGCTTTGTGATACTAAACCCAGCAAATAAACTTTCATTTGACTGATAATTAAACAGAAACATTATCGGAGTAAGCAGCAGCAGTCATTCGACGAACGAATTCGAAAGAACTAAGTGTACGCACCTAACGTTAACATCAATGGAACGAGCAGAAGCTGGCACATAAATGACCAAAACTAAATAAGCCTAACTTTTACCTTCAGTCTAACTTGTTCCATGGTGAGTGCATAGCGCAAAGTAACAGTCCACGGTTGTTTCTCTGATTCAAAGTCGACAGTCACACCAAACGGAATTCCAATTTCATCAGTACGTGCATAGCGTCGACCGATCGAACCAGCACTGTCATCCTTCAAATTGATCCTTATTCTCACTCACAAACACTCATCAATTTGCCTTCGACGCAAACAACATAAGGCGAATCATGACATCTTTGTAGAATGTCCATCACGCACAACCGTAAAAGTACACTACTGCAAATTAAAAATAACAAAGCAGACTGCTTATAAAACAGAGAAACTGTTCAAATTATACCTGCCTACAACTAATTTCATGGTTGGCCAACTCCTCACGAACCGCATCTAATATTGGGTCAAGTTTGTTATTCGATGAAATCGGCAGAACTGAGCACTTGATTGGTGCTATTTGTGGTGGTAGAGCCAAGAACTGTAAGGAATAAATGAATTTATAAATGGACAAAAGAATGCCTATCAATAAGGTTCGCCAATATCTCCACCAGTTTTGCCATTCACTAGTAATGAACCAGCTTCATATTTTCAACAAGTGTACCACAATTAANAGCTGATATCATTATTGGTGTGAGTATCATTAGCGTTAGTTTCATACATACTTACATATTAAACGATCACAAGTTGACAATAATTCTACAGATAATAAAAGTGGTAAGAATGTTCATTCTCAAACAACTTCCAAATCGAAAACTCACATTGCGTTGTTCATCGCCTTCACGCTGACGGAATGCATGTTCCAAAACAGCGTACATAACACGACCGATACCAAACGATGGCTCTATTACCGATGGTGTCACCTCTTCAACATGAACCTTCTTCTCATACTTTTTTACCGAGAACATATTCCCGTTCAACTCGGCTTCACCGCCCTCATATGCGAGTGTCGCTTTGCCGTTCGATTTGATTTCCTTCTCAAGCAATTCGATGTCTTCAACGGACAATTCAGCGAGTCTCGCCATGATCTGTCTCGCATTCGCTTTAAATGCTTTACCAATTGCCGCTTTATTTGGAACAGCCTCAGTTATCTGCACGGTTTTGGCTTCGTCCAACTGTTTTTCAGCCGTTAACTTCACATTGGTCGCTTTCTGGTGCTGATGAAGATCAAAACATGCACGATCCGCATTACCAACACATTCGATCCATCCGTACGATGTCAAAATTTCCGCGTCCCAACAATCACTAGCATAATGTGCCATTTCATTTGCCAAATGCTGTCTGAATCGAAGTCTACGCGGATCTACACCAACTTTCAACAGATACTGATGCACTCTCACCATATAATATCCCAATGTTTCATTCGCAACTAATCGCTGAAAAAGATTTTATTGTTTTTGGTTGCAATGATTATGGAATGTGAATTATGAAGATTTTGATGTGATAATGCAGTGAGCAAAAGCAGTTGGGTTGAATACGGCCAATTAAATCAGAAAATCAGTGGTGAGTCACAGTGAAATGAAATGAAAACTAATGAATAAAAGAACAAATGAATCGGAGTTGGCAAAGAAGGGTGACTGTACAATCGTATGATACCTTAGCAACTGCATCGCCAATCGCGCAAACTTCAGCCGGTCTACCATCCATCTGATTGCACGCCGAGAACAGTGTCAGTTCGTAGTTGGCGACTTTGGCGAATTTTGGATGCGATTTATTGTTTGGATCAACGAAATGCTCGATTTCGCACATTGTAAACTCACGAACTCGGATCAAACCTTGACGCGGCGAGATTTCATTACGAAATCCTGAACCAATCTGAGCAGCTGCGAATGGCAATTTACCCTGAAAAACATTTTCATTAAGGCGCACAACCATCTCATTTGAAACGAACACGAGTGAAATTTAGTCACCGAACGAACAACGTGTGTATCAACAAAACACATAGCAAAGGTAACGACTCACCTGATTGAACTCAAGAAGGCGTTTGAAATTGACGAATATTCCCTGAGCAGTTTCGGGTCTTAAGAATGCCTTGAAATCACCCGTTGGACCGATCACAGTTGAAAACATTAGATTGAATGCTATTGGATCCGTCACATCATTACCCGTTGTTGGAGATTTGAAATTGAACTGAAATCTTTCATTTTGATCAATCATCTACGATAGAACTTCATTAAGGTGAATTGAATCTGAAAACAATTAGACTCATCGAGACACTGAGCAAAGAGGAAGTGAATTAATTAACTTGTAGCGTATATTACTATATTTACTCAACGATCGGGATGAATCTAACGACGTAGGACAGGATGTGGCGAAGTAATAAAACTGCAAACCTTTCTGATCACTTCTAACATATCCTTATCATTAAAGCCATCCAATTTAACCAAAACATCGACAAGAGCTTCTCGATCCTCAGCACTTGTCTTTTTATCCTTAAATTAATAACAGTAGAGGAATTATTCGCTGTGTTATTTGCTTAGTCATTAGATGCAACAAGAGGACTTTTCTCGATTCAACGAACAATCATTTCTAATGATGTACGGTTGATCCTACAAGTGAAATTCTAATTATCAGTTAGGATTAATTCGAATTTCACTACGTGTCAGTCTTCAAAGGAAACAAAATACGATCCATCAGTGGATACCCAAAAACCTCACATCATCTTGTGATCTATCTATAAATGACACCTAAACTTTATTTACTCATTTTTGTTCAGCAACACAGAAAGAATACCGTCAGTAACACTTACAAGTGAACAAATCTGGACGTAAACAGAATCAAGCTCTGATGCAAAGTACTGGCATAATCAGATTCATGTGAGTTATTCGTGAAACAAAAATTTTTGACCAAAAAAGTGATCAAACTGATCAAACAACGGATAAAAGTGAATGAATGAACCTCTAAAAGTTTTTCGGCATGATTTTTTATAAGATGATCGGCACGAAAACATTCACCCGTTTTCATATCTTTCACCATCCAATCCGCAAATCGTTCCACGTGTCCTGAGGCTCTAGAATTAATTTTACAAATGCGATCACATCACCGTAAGCGCTGAGTCGCTTTCAGTTTCTATTTGGCTTGCTTTCTGGTCATCCAGTGCACAAAGTTTGGTATTCGTGAAGCTGAATTCTTAAATCTGTCGAAAAAAGAATCAACAGCAATAATTGCAATGAAGAGTTTAAGAGTACAGAAAATGATCGGCTAGGAAAACGACAAACAACCTGATCCAGTAAACGTTAGGATCATATCCATTGCAAGCCACTGCTAGAAATTCAGGATAGTTGCAAAACCATGCAAGCTGCAAGTGATACTGAAATCGATAAGAATCAACTAACTTCAGCACAGCTTCAGGTGTGAGTGCAGAGCAATCCACTTCGAGCATTCCTTCCTCCAAAATGAAGTGTTTACGCCATAAATCTATCATATTCGCCTTCATGGCACATCCCATCGGACCAAAATCATATAAGCCAGTTACACCTTCAACGTTTCATGGATTTTGATGAGTATGTCGAAAATTATTGGCACCATTTGAATCCGCATAATGTGAACAATTAGCTCAAAAATGCTTAGAAATTGTAATGATCTAAAATTGCGGAATAAATTGATGAATGGAAACAAGTTGTTCCATGAAGCAACGAGTTAGCCATTTGATAGTTCACCTCCATAGATAGCGAACGATTGATCATAAAAGAATCGTCGCTTCAAAAGATCCTCAAGTTTGAGTCGATCGAAAGCGGCCCCTTTGGGTGCAAGTGCCAATTCACGATCCTCCAGTTTTTTCTTACGAGCCTTCAGTTCCACTACCGCACGATCCACATCCACCTTGGCAGCACCATTCTGCTTCAACGTACGAACCAAGTCGCCGTATTCTTTAACAGAAGCACGCAATGGTTCTAATTGCTGCAAACAATCAGATAAATGAGAACGATGCACAATAATGGTGTTTTAATCTGCAATGAAATGCTTTCATTTTCGTTCACTTCAACAAATATTGCACGAGTCCTTATCACAACGGACAATACGGCGACAACCATGCAAAGCTTAACAGTCGAACTTGTTGCACACAAAAGTTCAATCAAAATCAGTGAGCCCATTTTGATTTACAATATAATATCATGCTCGGAATATGTAAACTGAATTTCCTTGACTGCTTTTTTGGCGCCGGCAAAACAATTCCATAAAGATCGTTAAGTTGTAACCAGAAATAACTGAATACCTCCTCGACTTCTGGAGTAGCCATAACTTTAAGATAATCCGAAAGACGTTGCTTGAATTTTTTCCCTAGTGTCTTCTCAAGTTTCTTTTTTCGTGTCCCAACTTTACGATTACTTGGGACTTGCTCGACCTGAAATCAATGAATTCATTTGGGTGTCCAAACATAAACAATAAATATACGGCGATTTCGTGAATCGATCAATTGAAAAAACTTAGCATAACAATTTATCATCATTGGTGATATGGGATTAATGGGTTAATAACAAAAAACAGGCAATTGACTTATCCGGGACGAAAGGTTGCGTGAATGGACGACATAAAACGAGAAAACTGAATGAAGAATCGATACGGTGACCTTGAAGAACTGTTGCGAAAAAGTTCTCGATAATAGGAGTGGTTTTGTCAGATCGCCCGCAGCACACAACAACACCGCCTCACACTTCGATAACGCACCAATTGAATTGCGTATCAAAGTTACCATAAAAATGGGTCACTCAAAATCCGTCAATAAATTCAGTCGAATTAATTATTCCACATATTCTCCTTCAAATTCAATCATTCTTAATTA